ACTGCATGTGTGTTTATATTTCCATTGTGTCGGTATTTTATATCATTTATTTCCATCTATCACGAAAATCCCCCTTCCTCTAAGTACTACGAAGTCTTTTGATTCATCCATCTAGATACTAAAGTAATTCTCATTCCTCCAGCTAGGCACCACAGCGTAAACTATCATCCTCCATTTTCGGCACAACAACATTTGGTCTCATCAAGTCATGTAACCATTAATGCGATGGCGAACGTTTCCCTAAGTAACTCGAAGTACAAAGAAGAGTGTTCCTTCACTCTAGATAGTGAATACTTCAAACCTTCCATCAATATATTCGTGTCGTAATGAAGGGACAGCCATCCGCCTAGCCATCCTGGCCATAGTAACGGCGTCCTGATAAGTCGCCGATGGTGAGAGGGAGCTGTAGCTTTTTATGACGCCTCGTACATCTTTCAATTTCGAAGTCATTAAGTTTTGCTTCTATTGGGTATGAAATTTACATATTAATTGATAAAAGGTGTTGAGGAGAGCGATACGTAGGTGAGAGGGAAGGAAGCTGGGTTGGAGAGGAAGAGACGCAATATTTTTTCTTTTTTTTTTTTTTAGCAAAATTTGATACATCTGCAGTGTGCCGCTTCCATATTATACACGATAGTTTCATAAAGAAAAGGCTGTTTCCCTGTCGTATATCATCCCACATGATGGGTTTCATACATAATACTGAAATCTATCAAAATGTGATGAGATCCTGCGAGTGTACAAAGCGCCATATAGACAGCATTTTACAGCCCATATAGTTGACACGCCACTGAGAATATCAACTTAGTTCTTGACTGTTTTAGTAAACAGCTACTACTATTATCCTTATCTAAGGTTATCACATAGGTAGCAGGGCAATTCAATGATTTGCCTTGATATTTGTAAACGCTCATTACTTCTTTCAACATAGGAAAAAAAATGTTTTCACTATAGATATTACAAAATCCATTAACCTGCACTTACCATCAAGGAATTTCGGTGATATATTCATTTAATCATAACATAAAAATCGCAAAGGACTCAACTGTGGGCATAACACCTAAAAGAAATTATATCACTGGTATACGCATAACTTGCAATAAAATAGCCAGCAGAACTGTTAAGAATAAGGCATTGCAAGTATGAGGCGCCCATATACTGAGGTCTCACTTTTTCAAGAAAATTTAGAAGTTCAGTTTTTTCAGCCTGATTCCAGAGCTAAAAGAGATGATATACGAAGACAGGTTAAGAGAACCGAACCTAGCATCACTGGAGAATCAAAGAAGCAAAGGAGATATGATCATAATATATAAGGTACTCTAAAACACAAACAGAACAGATTCGAACGGAAACGAAACAAGAAAGCATGAATAAAAATTACAAGCTGAAATGAGCCAAAAGTATACAATTATTATAATAAAAAAGAAGCGCCAAACCTACAAGCGTCATACAGAGCAGAAACAGTGTACACGAATTATTTTAGCATGAAGGCAATGGAATATAAAATGTATATATGATGAAAGCAAACTGAGCACAGAATATGTCAAATCAAATAATCTATGAATTAGTATGAGGCCCAAGAATTGACACCCTTTCCCCCCGGAGACCGAACTAGGTGAGAAAACACAGGCACACACAATGAGTCAAATACATGCACACCCAAATACAAAAATAAATTACGAACTGCCAAACACAATGATAGTCAACCACGAGTACAAACATGGGCTGATTGGCTTGAAAAAAGCGTGAAGAGGAGGAAGCACTAAAGAAACATACATACACAGTGAGCATCATGGACATCTGGAAATACGTTGTCAGTGGTAAAGAAATTGGAGGTCTAAGCGGTGAAGCCACACAGAGCAACATGTAAATCTAGTGATAAAAGTCACTAGACTTATCCTAAAACAATTAGCAACAATCGTAACAAGATTAGTAGCACAAACGTAACACGACTAGTCTTGGAGCTGAAGAAATGAATTACAAGGAGAGATAAAAGGATATATATGTAAAGATTGTAGAAGAGTGAAATCCCAAGGCAGATATGGTAACGACATAGAAGATAATTAGATGTAATGACAGAGCAAATATGAACAAAATGGAGTACGAAGAGCAGGGATGTTAGCAAATACTTATGCGTCAGGGCTGTAGAAAAATGTAATAAATTGTTTGAGTAAATGGTGAAAGCTAACTCCACGCAGAATTTTAAGAACAGAAATAATGATATAATAGGGTTCATTAGGCTAGGAATCAACGACATTGGTTGATTTTAGGCTTCAGAGGCGGGGCCAGAAACCACAAATCGGTGATTACAAATCAGTAGGTACACTCAGTCTTCTATGCTAAATCCAAATAAAATTTTATTGTTGCTTGCCTCAACCTCGAAGTATTTACAGCCATGGTGATCCCATCTCTTGAGCCTCTATTCCAGTGCTCGCCTAGTGGATATAACCCATTTAATTTTAATATTATTCATCGATATCATCGGGTGAATGAAATATATCTTACACTTCCATTAAACCCAAGTCATTATCACTAATACTATCGGTACCAATCGTTTAGTTTGGACTAGGGCAAACAGATTGTATTTAAAGTAGAAATTACAAGCCGGTGCTACCAGGTCGACTCGCAGATTATAACTAAAAATAAAAACTGTCGATCAATCATAAATGACGTCATTAAAACCCCACTGTGCTGGGGCTTGGAGATCACTGCCCTCCTCTTCTATTACTGATTAGAGGAAACTCATCTTCGGATACCTTACTACTAACATGTTTTCCATGGCAGTGGGGGGGGGGGGGAGGGGGAGGATGGGTGTAACAGCTCTTACCTCGACAACCACCACCTCAGCCTGCGAATGTTACTCTTAAGCCACAAGTGCAAATTAAGTCCCCAATAACAGAATTCAGTGTAACGACGCTTGAAGATGTTTCCTTATACACTCTCCCAATCACCTGGCAGCTGAACACTAACAAAAACATACCTTCCTTCCTTTCCTGTCTTAACCCGAGAGAATAACAACTAAACGGACGTTAAGAACAATTCATCATTCCTTCTCCCTCTGGAGACCGTCTTCTGAGCAAAGCCTCAAAGGCTCTTAGCGTGTTGGCCGAACATCCCTTATATCTGCAAGAGGCTCTCCGACCACACTGCCGTCATTGGATGGGCCCCTCCGGCCCCAACAGTAGGGCATCAGCTGGTAAACATGTACATGTAGCTTCTCTTGGATCTTTGCCTTGTATCTAGACCCAACTTCCTATTAAAGCTTCGGCGTATCTTAAACCGCAATCAAATTCCCCTTGCTACGCAGGTAACCTCGATACACCAAACTGTGGTCACCCCGAGCGCTTGTAACCACGTGCTGAGATGAAGGGATGCGACGCGCTCATTGGACGCTTATCATATTGTGTTCGCTCGTTAGGCCAAACTAGGGGAGCTATTAGGAATATCGGGTAGAGTTAACAGTTAACGGCAGAGTAACCTCTTGCCAATAGCCTCCTTGCAGTCCAACTCACCCTCGGTATTTGGGGATTACAATTAAGATATGACATCAGAAGTTAAAACAAATTGGCCAAAGCACAATCTTTAATATGAATCCACCGCATCTACCCGAGACCAGGGTTAGTGAACTTCCTTAACTATGCTATACTATATGTCTGAAGTCTAGCTTTTCCTACTAGGTCTTCTTCGCTAGGTGATACCTAAAGAATCATTCAGGTTCACATTTAGACGTAGAGTACTTCTAACTACTATTGTTACTACCATAACTATTGCCTCCCTTTGCCTTTCACCCCTCCCCTCTTTCTTTTCTTGTGCCCCTATAACTAGTCTCCCTACTTTCTACTACCATTACTACCACTACTTTTTCTTCCTCTCTTGATCCCGTCCCTGTTCTCTTCGCCTATATATACTGGCTCCTTCACTCTTCACTCTGTCGTGTTAGTGTGGCTTTGTAAATGGTCCAAGTCGGACCGAAATGTTGTAGCTTCTCTGTCTCTATGTGCGGGCTATTTGTGTATAGTACTTCTAACAGTGTAGTTAACTACACTGTAAATGGCCGGACGAGTCACTGCTGACTTTTGGATTGTAGAGAACAAACTTATAGTAATTAAAAGGAAAATACCTATAATAATTATAAGTAAATAAATTCTTTAAATGCTTATATACGAGTGTAGAGAATTCGAACTGATAATTGGCAGATCCAAAATTACGTCTCTTAAAAAAAATCTTCCTCCTGATGTAGAACCAAAATACTCAGAACAAAACCCTTGATAATGAATAGATTCTGAACCACTAGAATCGTGCATCCTTGCTGCCGGTACAAACGAACCCACTTTCCTCCACGGAGGTTTCTTGCCTCTCACTAATTGTTGGAGGAATACCTTGCAAGTAATAAATACCACTGGTGACAGCTGTAGTATGTGGAACACCAACTGAGAGACAACTTCCTCGTCAGTAACACTTGAGTAGCACCAGCTGTATAAGTATTTCTCCTGGGGTAAAAAAAAATCAACAAGATCCCCATAAATCTGTCAAGCGATGTGACAAATAAATCTCAAGAAAAAGTACATACACCAGAACATTAAAATATATACGAGGGATCACATGAAGATTTGACCTCTCATGGCAAAGTTATTAAAAGTATATGACAATTTCTTATAGCCTGGATAAATAAATTCGAATGACCGACATTACAAAAAGATATCGCAAATATTTTCGGTCTAGCTAGAGACCCTCTTCAGGCTAATGAAGAGGGCCTCAAGCTAGAGCCCCTCTTCATTAGAAGCTATTCCATTAATTTAACCTGTACAGCTAGTGTATGGTTCACTTAACTATAAAAAATAAGTTACTGTATCTTACATAAATATTTGGTTCGATTAGGTTATATTGGTAACTAAATTTTGTAGCAAAATTTTAAACGGGCTTATCAGATATTTACATAATTTTCGTTAACTACTTTCCTGAGCGGTGAAACCTCAGGTGAACCCAAAAAAGAGTAATACAGTACTTACCGATTTAGAAGCGGCGTCGTCTTCTCCCTTGGTGGTCTTGAAGTCGAGCAAGAGGACCTGTTGGTTCCCTCGGGAGCGCTTCAGCCACAATCTCCGCGGCTGTCTCCAAACTTCTGCCAACGACTCCGATTTATCCAGACGATCCACGCGCGTATTGGAATGAGGTTTCCAAGAGCCAAGATTAGGAATCAGTTTTAATGGAGCGGTGTCTTGTTCCTGTGGTGCACTGGGGTTGGCTGGGCTGCTGGCAGTAATACAGGTCTCTGGTAGTGGTGTCATGTACATTACATCACTGGAAGGTGGCCTCATGATACGAGAACCAAGCTCAGAAATAGCTTTTATAGCATCGGTTCTGAAGGTACTCCAGCCAGTCTTGACGAATGGGTTGTCTGCGTCTGCACTGTGGATCGCCTCAAATTCGTCAGAAAATTTAATTTTCTTCCTTGTGCCATGCTCCAGATCTTCAAAGTGTATGCAGTCCTTTTGCAAACTTTGATCATCTGATTTATCATTAAGTGAACTGTTAGACCTTTCTTTTAATTCCTTTGATTCAGCTTCACCATTTTTATGTTCATAGTTTATATTTATCGCTGTTTGCTTGTGTTTTGGCTTGAACTCTGGCGGCGCTCCCGAGAGGTCTGCGTTCACCATGTCCCTGTGATTGGAACATCAATGGTTATTAATTTGACTGCACTTACCTAATAATGTTAATTTTTATCTTATTTCACAACTTTTGGGAAAACAGCAATTTACAATCTAGACTTCAGTGTTACCCCAACCATTCCTTTACCCCCCACCCTCCTTTACCGAATAATCTGAGCTGATTCCTCTCTGAAAGAAAATTGCAAATTTATTACTTGTGATTTATATGTGACCTGTTTCTCGAGTTTTCCAACTTTGATGACTGCCTGGTCTTCCAGTCTATTGCTGTTGGCGGTCAGTCGGCCCACATATCCTTCACAGCCTGGTTGCTCTGGCACACTGCGGAGGCAGTGATCTGGTTTCCTACTGAATACTTCTATACTTGTTCTGGCAATATTTCTGATATATGCTGGTAACAGGCTGAATAGTCTGTGGAACCACTGATACACAAATAACCCAAATAACGACGACGTTTTTGTTCGACTTGGACTATTTACAAATGAAGAATTGAGACACTTATGCAACATATGGGAATGTTATTGAAGAAACGTTTCGCCACACAGTGGCTTCATCAGTCCAATACCAAGTAGAAATGGTTAACGAGAGGAGGATATTGAGGTAATCAATCCCTCAGCCTGGAATCATTGTGTTCAGTCCATCACTCTTGAAGGAAGTACAGCATAGGGCCAGAGAGGTGGCTTATATACTTATATGTTGCACAAGTGTCTCAATTCTTCAGCTTGTCGGTTTTCAAAACCATTCATCACATCTGTCAGACACTGCAACATCATGGGATCTTGGTACAAACACTTTTTCAATGTTTGTCCAACCTTTGGACGACGACCTATTTACACCAGTGGTAGGTCCCACTGTGATCCCGCCTCCTCCTGCTTCGACTCACCTGACTGCAGTATATAAGCCACCTTCTGGTCCTATGCTGTACTTCCTACAAGAGTGATGGACTGAACACATCGATTCCAGGCTGAGGGACTGATCACCTCAGTCTCCTCATCTCCTTACCCATTTCTACTTTGTATTGGACTGATGAAACCACTGTGTGACGAAACGTTTCTTCAATTAAGATTCACATATGTTGCACAAATGTCTCAATTCTTCAAATTATTCGGTCCAAGTCGGACCGAAACGTCGTCGTAAGCTCCTCTCTTCTATGTGCGGGCTATTTGTGTATCGTTCCAGTCACGGTATTGTGCCTTTTTTTAATTTATGAACCACTGATGTTGACAGTGTTCTCTTACTGCGCCCGTGGATCCCTTGTTTGTGTATTTTGAAAATTTTCACACATTTCTTAGTCCAGTACGTTATGAAAGTGTGCAGATATTCCTCTGCTTTTTTTTTATTACATTTATGTGATAATGTTAAACTTGTAAGAGTCATACAACAACTGAAAAATAAGAGGGAATCAGGTTTGATCGAAGAAGAAAACTTGTATTTGTTGTTCAGTTTCTCGAGTTCAGAGTTCACAATGTTGAAAAATTACATTTTAGAGAATACTCGGTTTTTCAACTGGGGTTCTGATTCATAGCATGAGTGGTGGTGCGTGTGTTGAACTGCATGCTGCTAGCACCATCAGTCAGACTGATCATGCCTTCGACCAGGAGTCCTGGTTAGGGAACCAGGCAGCAAGACCGATAACTTCCGGAATGCTACTTTTAATAATTCCTATATTCGCTAGATTAACAATTCTTACCTTAACATTAAAGGTGACTCTTGATATGAAACTGAAATGTACAGACGTCTCAGGTTTTCGAATACAAAGTTAGATTCGAGTGAGTGAAGATAATGGTCGTTGAGACTTGACGAACTGTTGGAATGTGAGCAGGGTAATATTTTGTGAAGAGATTCAAAGAACCCGGTTAGCCGGACTTGAGTCCTGGAGGTGGAAAATACAGTGCCTGCACTCAGTAGAAGACGGCCAGAGTTAAAAAAATAAATGTAAAAATACCAAAGTGAAAATAAGAAAAAACCTGAGTGTTTTCATGTGCTTACACACATACCTTCAGAAGAATGTGTGTAAGCACATGAGCTTATGTGTGTGGGCACATGAAAGTGCTCGTCTTATTTACTATTGTCACTGTGGTATTTTCTCACACACACACAACACACACACACACACACACACACACACACACACACACACACACACACACACACACACACACACACACACACACATACACAAATAATATATAATGAATTCACAAAACAAGTGATTTTGAATCATTAACAGAACTGCGACTTGGCCAGGGCTCTATCCTGCGTTCCCATGCCCGGCCCTGTGAGAAACTTAACAAAGTACGAATCACTCTCTACTAGACCAGCAATCCTTAAACACCAGTGGCCCAGCAGTACTGAGCGTGTTTTCCCTGATGGAAGAACACCCGTGGTCGTGGAGCCTCAAAGACTAATTTCAACTTCATCCTGTTTGGCTTATCAGCCTTCACGAACAGTCTATATATTAATGAAATCACGAAACCAAGTGATTTTGAATCATTAACAGAATATATTCAATACGTCGGCCGCCTCCCACCGAGGCAGGGTGACCCCCCCCCCCCCCAAAAAAAAAAAAAAAGAAAGAAACGCTTGCACCATCTGTCTTTGCAGAGGCACTCAGATACAAGATCTCACTCCAAACAGCCAATATCCCAAACCCCTCCTTCAGGACTCAAGTCCGGGTAATCGGTTTCCCCGGATTTCTTCATAACTTATTACCGTGCTCACACTCCAACAGCTAGTCAGGTCCCAAAAATCACTCGAATCTTGAACATTTCATCTAATTTAAATTTATTCAGTAGGGTAATAATCATGTTCTTACGTGGGCATCCAGTGGTGAGAGATGTCCAAGGATGGGTGTTCCCCAGGCTCCACCTGACTTCCAAAGACTGCTGAGGTCAAGTGTTCCCATTTGAGGCTTCCTGATGTCGCCGACGTCACCTAAGAAAATAAACTGTTGAAAATAAACTGCACCATATACATGAATAAAATAAAAAAAATCTTCCATTGTTACTTTTGCAGAATTACTAATCACTGAAGACAAATGTTATAAAACTTCTGCTCGTGATATTATTAAATTGTTATCGGTAAATTCACTTAAGAAGCAAGTGGTATCAGCAACAAGCGGAAAGATGTGAAGAAACAGAACACATGCGCCAAAATAGAAAAAATATATAATGTGAATAATGAAGAACGAAAAACACTAGAATTACTCTCGTTCATAGACACGAGGAAAAAGAGACGTGATAACCAGTGTATCACAAATAGAGTGGTACAACACTGGAATGGAATCCAAGTGGAAGTTATAATGCTGAAACCATTGAGAAATTATGAAGATTATACGACAAGTTAGCCTAGAAGATGGGACACCACGAGCATAGTTTGTCTTCAACAACTACAAGATAGTCAGCTCATGCATGTGTACGCACGCAAGACGCAGGTACACACGCTCAACACACGTACACGCATACACACACACCTAACATCTGCACAAATACACACACACTAACATATATCTTCTTTCAACAAACCGGCCGTATCCCACCAAGGCAAGGTGGCCCAAAAAGAAAAACAAAAGTTTCTCTTTTTAAATTTAGTAATTTATACAGGAGAAGGGGTTACTAGCCCCTTGTTCCCGGTATTTTAGTCGCCTCTTACAACACGCATGGCTTAAGGAGGAAGAATTCTGTTCCACTTCCCCATGGAGATAAGAGGAAATAAACAAGAACATGAAATAGAAAGAAAATAGCAGAAAACCCAGAGGGGTGTGTGTGTATATATATATATGCTTGTACATGTATGTGTAGTGTGACCTAAGTGTAAGTATAAGTAGCAAGACGTACCATACTAGTAGCCGTTGCCCAGAGGTGAGAGTAGCGACTCTCATTGCTGAGGTCCAGGTAATAAACCCTGGACATTAACATAACATAACATTGCAAGACGTACCTGTAACCTTGCATATTTATGAGACAGACAAAAGACAACAGCAATCCTACCATCATGTAAAACAATTACAGGCTTTCGTTTTACACTCACCTGGCAGAACGGTAGTACCTCCCTGGGTGATTTTTATATATATATATATATATATATATATATATATATATATATATATATATATATATATATATATATATATATATATATATACATATATATATAATATATATAATATATATATATACACTATATATATATATATATATATAATATATATTATATATATATATATATATATATATATATATATATATATATATATATATACGCACACATACCCACCCACCTACTTACACACACACACACACACACATCTACATATACACCAATATGTAAAACACATATACACCTTATATATATATATATATATATATATATATTATATATATATATATATATATAATACACACACACACACGCACAACCAATATATGAGCACTTAACCTTGTCTTTTGAAGCATCATCTTCCCATAATGGTCTTGTCGCACCATCTGTATTCCTACTCAGTGTTGCTTCGTTCTTTTCCTCCAGTAAGTTACCCCCTTTCTTTGCTTTCTTTCTTTCTTGAATATCCTCTTGGTTCTTCTTTTTCTCTCTTAACTTGTGGTCGTTACTTGGCTCATCGTAGCCCCCAAGGTTGTGAGCTGACCTACCAAAGAGCTCAGGAAAATGTCTTGATCCGAAGAAGCTGGACACTCTAACTAACGGGTTCTCCTCTCGGAAATCTTGGGCTGAATAAAGAGAATGTTTTGAGTCACGTCTCCGCAAGGTGCGTTCTTGTCCAGATCGTTGTCCTCCAGCGGTGAAAAGTGTAGAATTAGTCGAGGTCTCTGCTTTGTTTATGGGTGCGTTAGGAAGGATACTAGCCACCTTCCGTCGTTCATCCTTTTTCACCGTCACCGTTGATTTCAGCGCCTCAAGTGGTTCCTGGAGATCCACCAGAAGATCGGGAGGGTCAGCAACGTCTGACATCTCAGTTAATGTTTTATATAAGATCTTGTACAATGTTCCCAAATGATTTTTTTAATCAGAATTTTACGATCTGGTTACTGTCGGCTGAGTGGGTGTAGTTGCAGTGGATATAGTCCTAATGTAGTGCGCGAATCTTGATTTGGATTAAACCTGGTAGCGACAGTTTTACTGATTGTGTCTGAAAAAAATAAAAACGGTCATAAATATCAACATCTAAAGTTTCTGCAGGACTGCACCATATCACTTACTGAAAAAAAAATATTGAGAAAGGATCCAGAGAAAAAAATTATCTTCCTAAAAAGGCAGCAGTCTGGAAGACATCAAGGATAAAAATAACATTATAATGACTTCCAGCTACGAGCTTAATTAATGTGAAACTCTCGACTGACAATACAAGGAGAAAAAGTGTTCGCTGTTGAAGATCTGGAGGAGAAAGAGAGGAAAGCTCGGAAATGAAGAGAAGACGAGAAGCAGGAGAACGAGGAGGAAACCCGTGATGAGACAGAACAAGAGGTTGAAGAGAAAGAAGGGAGAATATTAATGAGAAAAGAAACATTTTTTTCCATGCTGCTGGCATCCGTATAGACTCGGGTCTGTGGGACCTCCGATCTCTTGGCCAGTGATATCTGATTCTGCAGCCCCGCCTCACACCATGCCTGAAAAACGTGCCAATTTTAACGTTGAAGTCACCGCGTTGCTAGGCGTGTCATATTAGATTTTAAATTTACTCATCTGGAGGTTAAATACAGGTTTATATGTTTATGTAACCAACACTGATAAAAAATGCATACAAATGTGGATGGGTTGCATTCTTTGAATACTGTCTCTTCTATTTTCCTAATGTTAAAATACTTATATACTCGCATTACAATGAGAAAAAATATTACGAGTATTTGTAGGAAACAATGATTTATAACACCATCAACAAGGTGCATCCCTGACAAGTTTTCTAACAAGAAATAAAATATATTATTACCATTCAAGGATAATATTGGGTGCTTTGATGGTGAAGGACTCTTGATCCTGTATCACTCCTATGGGTTTAGTATTTCCCTTAATAAAAATATTATTATTATTAAGAAGAAGCGTATTATCTGCATTATCTCTCCACTTCTCCCACTAGCTCCATCATCATGCTTCTTAAGTGGAGCAATCAAGCCTGCTGCGCAGGCGAAACGTCTCTCAAAGGTGTTACACATGTATCTTACTCATTAACTTATAAGTACTATACTACTGATCTAATGACACTTGTCTGTCAAAGCAATATCATGGAATCTTGGTACAGAGAATCTCTCTGATCCACCTTATTGGCCTGGCCTACTTTCACTAGTGGGCCCTCCCACGTATAACCACGTCTTCAACTGCTGCACTTCTCAACTTCTTCCACTGGCTAAAGTATTAAAGTCGCCAGGCTCATGACTCTATGAGACTGATAAAGCCTTCTGCCCAGGTGAAACTTCTCTCAGTAAAGACACCCAAGCGATGCATGTCTTATTCATCATCAAGAACTGAATAATAGGATGACTCTGGGCCAACTTCCTCGGCAAAATTTGAACGTGTGCCTGAACTTGTCTTCTTTAATTATAAACAAACACCCAATTTGTCTGTCTCCTCCGCAAGCACATATTATTGCACAAATGGTGAGGAATCCAACATAACTAACAATCATCGTAATATCATTATTATTAACAGGGAGTAGCGTCACCTAGGAGACCCCGACTTAACTAGTCGGTGGTCCATTCTCCAGTCACGGTTCAGTGAGCACCACCGCCTACCCACCCTCGTCTGATCATCACTGATGAACGAAATCCATGTCTAGCTATGGAAACAGGTGCACACACACAAAAGTGTTTCTCTCTTGTACGAGGGATACATATAAAGAAACAATGGAAAGAAACGTAATACATAACAGAAAAACACTGTACTTGACCTAGCCAATGGTAGGCAGGTCCTTTTCAAACCTAACCATTCTCTAATTTATTTTAAGGCTACCTAATTCAGACAAAAATATAAGAGACACAGACATAATAAATACACTTACAAAATACAGACACTTATGAGTGAAATAAACCACTTGTGCAAGAATGTGAACAAGAACAATTTTTTTTTGAGTGATGGTTACACAACGTTTCTCTTCAAACAAACAATATTTCACTAAACACAATGTTTCCATACACACACACACACACACACACACACACAAATATATGTCCTTACACACGCACTAGAAAAAAAACATTCACAGATTAAGTGTCTATTAATAAGTGCCTCTGACAACCGGAAACTAACCGACACACACCCAAGTCACTCGCACACGATATGTCTCCCTACAAGTAATTCTACATAACCAAGTGTGGGGAAACAAATAGGTAAAAAATACATAAAGATATATGGAAAGGAACTCGAGGGGCAGAAAATGGTTTTCTTCCTCGTCAGAAATTAATTAACAGGAAGTCACAAAATACGACGAGGCTTTGATCCTGATTGAACCTCCAACATCTTTTTTTTTTTTTACATATCTAAAATTGGAAACACGCTTTTTCTTCGATAATGTAATATTTTAAGGTCGTAAATTACAAAGTCACTGCCACCAGTGCCACTATCACTTACATTACCACCACCACTACCTATGCCACCACCTCTAGATTTACCACCACCGCCACAGTCAGATTTTACACCACCACTGTCATTACCACTATATCCATCAGATTTACCTACCATCATAAAAATTCCCCACCACTAATGTTATTCTCATCACCGCCACCAACAGACACCGTCAATGCACGACTATTGCCATTAGCTTCAGTGCCATAACCACCACTAACATTGTGACTAACACAATCCCAGTGGAACTACCACTATCACTGCCACCACCCCAGTGGTACTATGACCAGTCCCACCACTGTCACTGCTACTACCCCAGTGGTACCATCACCAGTCGTACCACTATCACTGCCACCACCCCAGTGGTACCATCACCAGTCTCACCGCTATCACTGCGAACACACCACCACTTTCAAGGCTTTCAAATATTGCCACCTCGATTACTAGAACCGCTACTACCATCACCATTGTCACTGTTAACTCTGTTAGTTTCACACCAATGCCAATGCTAACACCATCACCCTTGCCACTATAAGAACAACCACCATTACCACCCCAACAAGCATTACCGATACCTCTACCAACATCACCATTCCTTTTCAGACTCCTACCACCACCACTATCTCCACCTCTCCCAGAGGAGGTTAACTAACCATACAACGAATCCCCTCATGGAAGGTTCCTTGATGTTGGTGAGGGGCTCTTGATTTAGGGAATTGGAACTGTGCTCCAGTTCCCCGAATTAAGCCTGAATGCCTTCCACATCCCCCCCCCGGGCGCTGTATAATCCTACGGGTTTAGCGCTTCCCCTTTGATTATAATAATAATAATACAACGAATCTTCTGGTTTGAACTCCAGTAAACTATATACGGGTGAAAACATTTTTCTCTGATGAAATCTGAGGGAGGAAAACCCTCAGAATATGTCCTACGGTTAATGGGGTTTAAAGCCTATCGATTACACTAGGGTCACTGAGGCTGCACGTAACCTTTTCACCATTAGACAATAATATTTTAATCAGTAAAATAGAGATTAAAATACTGTCAGCAAATATATGCTGAGAAACATACCTCTCGGTGTAGTTTTTCTCTACTCCCAGTTACCACCAGCCAAAACAACTACCAGCAACATTAACAACCATCATCATCACCAGCACTACTGAGAACCACCACCACTACCACCCACCACTGCTACCAGCACCACGTTGGCAACTCCTTACAAGGAGTGTTTTCTGCTTCCTAACGACGCTTTTACTGTAAATGATCACTAGAGTGGTCTGATATTTAAGGTTAGGCTTCGCGGAGCCTGGAGAATATCCACCAACTCGGCTACAAAGAGCGAGCTAGAAAACTCAAAGCTTTCTATTCGCGAAGCTCAACTGCGCAATGAAAATGGAATTTTTGCTTTCCACAGTGAGGTTAAAAACAAAGAAATTTCTAGAGGTTCAACATTGCAATAAAAAAAATAGGTTTTGGGTTTTGGCTTAAACGTAAAGTTCAACAGTACAGCAAAAATGTGACTTCTTCAATTCCACAGCGAGATTCAAATGTCCAAAATTTCTATTCTAGTACTTAAACTACAGTACGCAATGAAAACTCGATTTGTATTTTTTTTATTTTATTTAAAACATGCCAATACAGCAATTGATAAATGTATATAAAAATACAACCAGGCTCAAACATCGTGGTACAAAGCAAACCTTGAACCAGCACTCTCGCCACATAACGGCGACTGATGAACTACCCACTACCCTAAAAGACTTTGAACCGTTACATAACACCACATATGTAACCTCACAGCCAAATTAGCATTGGTACAATTTATAGACATGGTATGTGTATGTCCGACCGACACTCCTCGGTTGCAGACCTTCATACACACTTACTCTCCCCCCACACACAATAACATGCAAAACCCACTCCCCGAAAATCCCCCCTCTGGACCAAGACCATGATCCTTTGTTACAGATCAAATAGACATAGTTTATTAGCATACATATATTACACATAAAATACTACATACGTAGTCACTAACCGTCACTCACCCTATCCCCTCCTGACCCCCCGTACCATCTCGAGGCAATGTTGACATTATCACACCTACATGGGCACATAATGCACCCCCTCCCAATGTGGACAACAGGACAGTGCTTTGTAACCAAGGACCCGCCCCCCTAAAACCACCCCACCCCAGACCCCATACTGGGTGCCACAACATAATGATACCGAAGCCCTAATGACAATTACAAACATGATGTCTCATGAAATCGTAATGACACGATTGCTAACGCGACGGTCTGGAGCTTTGAGACTCTGACCGCGGGTTCAAACCCCACCCGTGGTATGGTTTATGATATATAATGTCTTGCCATCCAGACAAGCCTCCAAGTGCCGCTGGGCATACACCCGAGAGCGGGCACAGGACAACTCCCTGCATCCCACAAAATGGCCTGCAAAACCCCTTACATGACAACCTCAACGGTGTAAAGCAACCCTCGGTCCACACGCTAATCTTAATAAGACTGCACACTATGCAGGGTGTGTGATCTAGTAAAGAGTAGAAAATACATTTATT